GATATTAGAAGGCTTTGACTAGACCCTGTGTAATCACATCTCCGAAAAGACTATATCTTTCTTTTGTTCATAAACATTCTTAGGGTTTCCGGAATAACCAAATTTGCCTGAATTGAGATGCTGGCCTCATCTGCTCTGTCACTCTGTAGTTCCCTCCTGCTTTCTGTACCCAGCAGGACACTGGAACGGCTCACCCAGGCTGTCAGTTATCTTTGAGCAGAGCCATGGTAAATATCCTGCATTGATTAAGCAGATTTGCATAGGCAGAGCAGGCCTTGAGGCAAAGAGCTGAATGCTAACCAACATCCACAATGTCACAGGCCCAAAATACCATCTCGCCCTGCAGCTGCAACGGTATTCTGCCATAAGTAGGCAAAGAAACGTAATCAGACTGCTGGCTTTGTGTAGGACGTGGCCTGGAAGTTACCAAGCCATGCCACATTTGCCAGAACAGTTATTTTATACTGCTGTAGATCAGTGATTCTTCAATTACAGGATCTTTTCTGTCCCTTTAAGCTGCACGTTTTAGTCGTTTTTATTTTTTAATTATTTGTTCCTTGCTTTTAAGAATATTGTTTAATCTGAATATCTGGAATATCTCGGTTTTGGACCAGTTTTAATTTAGTGTTCACATACTATTATAGCATTTATTAATATTTTGAATTAGATTTAATTTGTATATTTTCAGTTTAATTTCAGTTTAAATTTTAGTCATTTTGTTATGTGCTTTTGTCATTATTAATATTTTTTAAATGTTTCTATTTAGTTTTAATATATGGATGTAATTTTAATCCTTCAACTTAAACCGATTTTAACATTCAACATTTCTGGAGTTTTTGCTGAAGTATACATTTTCATTTAGTATTATATATATATACTGTATAGAGACCCTAGAATGACATTAATTTCTAATATTTTACATGATTAAATTAGAGGTTTAGATTGAGATTTGATCATTTTAATTTAGAAACAGACTGGCACTGCATAAATGTTACCCCCATCCCTGTCTTAGTTTTACAGTCTGGTTTCAATCCACTTACTGTGTGAACAGCTATTTCACATCATTTTACTCTAAATAAAATCCTAACAATCCAGGGATTATTTTTTTCCTGCAGATAGCACGCTTTTGATGAAGTCCAGTCTTTGGTAACAGTCAAAATGAGTTTATCTCAGAAGGCCTGCTGTCCACAACAATCAAAGGATCAGGACCGCATAGCTTTAAGCTCTCTCTCTCTCTATACCTGGTTGTGAAAGGAAAGGAAAATCCATAAATGTGTCTATTGTGTATGTATACAATGGGGTTCAAAATTCTGAAACAACTAGTAAAAACTGGCGCTTCCATTTTACATTTATGTTTATATTTTTATCATTTAACTTACATCAACAACAAATTGTTAAAATTTGATTTTGCTTCTTTGTATATGCATATATTTGACATTTTCAGTAATTCCGTTTTCAAATTTCAGTCATTTTCAATTTTGTTAACATTTTGACCCAGAGATCTCTGTTCATTTTCCCTGACTTTTATGTTGCACATACATGCTCTTTTTTCCTCATAGCTGCAGTCAGTCCACTCTGATTTCTGTGAATTCACAGACTATCATTGAAGCTCAAGGGTGAAAATACAAGCCTGTCCATAATGACCTTTACCTTGTCAAGGTAGAATAATCAGATTTCACTCTTTGCCTCAGCAGGCAAACAGACAGCTCACTAAAACTCAATACACAGCAGAGCTGCTCATTTTCACCAGGCCAGACGAATAGCAGGTCCAAAGGGCCCTGTCATCTAACGCTATGTAGTCCTCATCCTGTACTGCTATGTAGTCAGCTATTATTCAATATGAAGTGCAAGAAAGCCATAGACTTTAGTCAGAGCAGACACCATATTTAATCTGACATCAACAGAAGTGAGGCTGTGAGAGATGAAGGTCTGTTCAATATGTCGTACTGTTGTGTACGTGGAAGTTTATCGCTCAGTTGATAAAACTGAAATGTCTTTTCACAAGTTTTCATTGGACATAAAATTTTAGAAAATATGAGTTATGAAAACAGTATAATGTACTAAACTTATGTCCCTCTCAGCTTCATTTTAAATCGCTAGTCAAAATACATATATATTGCAATATATTTTCTGCTTCATTTTTTGTCATGTTTATTTATTTGTTGTTGTTGTTTTTAAGTGTATATATAGTTTTTGGTAATTTTTATTTCAGTTTTAGTTATTTTAGTCCAAGTTAAACTAAATGAAAATGAGAAATGTTGCATTTTGCAGAAGAGTTTTTTTAAATATTTTATTTCAGTTAACATTTATTTTATTTCAAGTAATGTTTTTTAGTTTTAGTTTTAGTTAGCTATAATAACCCTGACCCTCACAAGCCAATAATTCAATGCAAATAAATATAAAAGTGTCATCGTCACAAGTGAACCTGTATTTAATGTAATCTGGGTCATATTATCTTTTACCTTTTTTACGATGATTTTAAGTAATTTTCTACCAGTTAAGAATCTGTTCAGTTTAGATGCCAAGGTTTGTTGTTGGTCGTTGGTCACATTTTGCTGCAAACAATTTAGTGGTAACAGACTCCACGTAGACTTTATTGAATGATGTTTAAAAAAAAATCAGTAAACAGATAATTCTTGATTTATTTTTTTTATTTGTACAAAATACATTGTTCTTTAAATAATGTGTAATTTCCTTAAGACTGAAAATAAATTGAAAGGATTTAACCGGGTTTGCTTATCTGTCGGACACCATGAAGCATAACACTCTCGGCTGTGAGAAGAGTGAAGAAACAAGCTAATCTTCCAGGAGTTCAATATTAAGTTCCCGTCACTGTCAGACTGGGCGTGAGAGAGGGAGGGAAAAAGATTAAACTCTTCATCACAGATGAGGCTTATATGCCACCGAAACACATTCTCGCATTGTTAATATGTGGATTAGGCCATTTTCTCATTCCCAACAGAAGTATCAATATATGATTCTAAAATGGCATAATGCAGCAGCTCTCTACTGCATTCTCGGCCTGTATCAACACTGAGCTCGTGTTTTTGTGAAAGAGGATATGAAGAGCGGCTTCTGAGATATTCTGACTGATTCCGGGATCTGTACGTACCTGTGCGTTAGTCTGCGTGTATCCACAGACATACATATTCAAGGCGGCCATTGTATTAGTAACGTTTTCATACCGAATATCAACCGTGGGTTCTGTTTGGAGCGGTTTATGAGATTAAATGGAAACCTGAAATAATTTCACGTTTTCTCCACAATCAGTCAATTACGTTTCTCATTGCTTTCTGCATCTGTGATATCCTCCTGCTCTTTCAGTCACGAAGATGAGTTGTTTGCCACACTAAATATAAATTCAATGAATAATTTTATATTCACATAGAGCGATATTCCACACCCCGCCAGTGTGAAGCGCCACCTCTGCCCAGTCTGATGTGCATTCGAATGTTTTTTTGCACCATTTTCATACCAAAACTGGGAGAAAAATAAGAAGCTCTTTTTTTCCAGCAAAGTCCACCAAGAATATAGAGGGAAAACATTTTATTATTCCGTCAAACCCAATCATATTTATGACCTTGCGCTTTCACATGGGAGAGCGCTTTCCATTGCTCCCTGTGTTATTTAAAATTTCATAAACCTGGTCTACGACAGTACTTATTTTGCCCCACATTCTAATCTGCTCCTAATAAAGACATGCCAAGCAGAGGGTGTGAAAAACGAGCTCACCGTGGCAGTTGGCATGAGTAAGGGAGAGTGCTGGGGATAAATCAGAGCGGGAAACGTTGGAGGCACACAGATAATCTCAGAGTGCCGCTGTGTGTTTGGTGCTCTCCTCTCAACGGCAGTGATATACAATGATGGGAAATCCATGCAGACTCTAGAAAGGGCGAGATGGAGGTGACTCGTTTAAATGTTTGACGTGAGCAGTTTTTCAAAAGAAAAGTTTGTAATTAACACCCAAGATGAGCTCAGCAAACTCATTCACTGTCTGTCACCGGTGAATTAATGTTTATTGACAGGGAAATAATGACACTGACTTATGAGCAGGCTTACATGAATTGTGTTCCTGCAGAGCTCCTCGGAAGGTTCTGTCATTTATAAAATCCCCTAAATCTCAGACTCATTGCATATTCATTTATTACATTTTGTGGCTAATTTGATTATGCTTTCAGCTGCTAATAAGAGCGTGGTACTCTCAGCTTCATTTAAAGGAATAGGTATCCCGAAAATGAAAATCCTTTTATTATTCCACCCTCATCTTGTTCTAAATCCATATATTATTTATTAATTTGCTTACATTTTTTTAAACGTATGACTTTATTTATTTCTTGAAAAACAAACTTTGTATAGTTTAATTCATATGGAAAGTGTTTTATGACTTTTTAGAAAACCTTGCTGGTAACTAATTTATAAAAAATAGTAGATAATGAGAGTAAATAAACAATTAAGATTGTTTGTGTGTGTGTGTGTGTGTGTGTGTGTGTGTGTGTGTGTTTGTGTGTGTGTGTGTTTGTTTTTATTATTTATTTTTTAATTCATTTATTTTTGTTGTTTTAATGGAAATCCTCATTACTGTTTATATTTTGTCCTTGTAATGAGCAATAAATTATTACAAAAATATTGACTTATTTATTATTATTATTGTATTTTTTTATTATTTTTTCAAACTCTATTAAAATAGATACTTTCGGTCTTTATCGGTTTGTCAGAAAGGTTTTTTAGGCCTTCTTGGATGTTTTTGGTCATGCACCTTCTTTAATTTTTTTATGCACACATACCATTTTGTTTTAACATTTTTTTTTTAAATCCCATTTGAGTCCACACCACGGATTTTACTTTAAATTGGTGCAGAAAAAATGCATCTGGACTTACAGTATATATTACAAACATTATCTAAAAATGCTCTTTTACATTATGGTGGTACAATCTAATGCATTCAATTCTCTCTTTTGTTTGTCTATTCTCCGGTGTGTGTGTGTTTCACCATATTATAGACCACGGATGACATGGTCTCTTCGGCTGAATGCTCCAGTGACGACGAGGACTTTGCTGAGTGCGAAGGACATGCAGGTGGGCTAGGTCAGTTGAATTTTGCTTGCCTCTATGTGGTGGCCTTTCGTTTGCAACTGAGGATCAGATCCTCAAAGCATCGCTTCCCCCCATGGATAGAAAAAGTGTAACTTCCTGTCCAATCCAACCCATGTACACCAATATAGAGACATGGATATACAGTAGTAGGATATCTTAAGAAATAATCTAAACAAAACAGAAATAGGCATGGATCTCTATTGCTTAGTCCATTCAGTAGCCTTGAATCAGAGCTAATCTCAAATCATTCCCCCCAAAACTTTTATTACGAGCTACACTTGGCCATGGGGTTTTCCGAAGTGGTTAACATGGTCACACTGATTACTAATTTTGTCCCCAGTGACTATTATGAGAGCATACGTACAAAATTAGTACAGAAAAGTGACATGTTCTCTGCATTGATGCTTCAAAATGTATCATACTGAGGTTTTTTTGCCATGTGATAGTGGACTGCATTTTGGCACATGATACATTTTGAGACTTTGCTTTCAGCCTTATAGTAGAGTGATATCTATCAGATTAATTGCTGTTGAAGCAGTCTTTTCGATTCCTTTCTGTTTCCTCATTTCAAGAGGTTTGATTTAAGTTAACTTGTTGTAATAGAGAACAGATATCATCGAATTTCTGTGTACAAATTTTTGTTTTGTGTCGTTATGCTTATTTTTAACGATATAATTTTGCCTCAGTGTGAACAAGCTGTTCTGCTAATATTTCCAACCCAAATATGAAAAATACAATTCAGTGATTAGAAAAAAAGAGATTGATAGTGAGAAAGAGAAATATTTGAGAGAAGTTGGGTATTGGCTTTTTTTTTCTTTTTTTTTTTACATAATTGTAGCTTTGAGAAAATAGTCTGTCATGTCTTTTGTGAAATATGCACATTTTTTGATTGCAGTTATAGATAATCGAAATTTCATTCCTTTGCAAATTATGATTCCAGTCAGAGAGGCCAAATTAATCTCGTTATAATTTGAGTAAAACTCTACCACTTACAATAATTAGGTGTTTCTTCAACTTCGGGCACTTTTTATATCCTAGGGGTTGATTTTTATTAAAATGAACAGATATCAACTTTTTTTTTCTGTCATATAAAGGTCACGTTAAAATATATTACTAGTCTTGGAAAGTTTTTACCATAGCTTCACCATTTATTTTAAATTTGTTTTACACTTTTTCCAGGCGTTCAATCTTAAAAAGATTACTCATGTTAAAATTATTCAATATTAATTTATTAATCTAAACAGAGCAACATAATAATAAACATCTAAATAATAAATATTTGAATATATTTTTTTTATTTCTTATATATATAAATTGAAATAATAAATAATTGTCTAAATTTTGTACACAATTTTATTTATAGTTTAATAAAAAAAAAAAAGTTTTTATTTTTATTTTTTATTTTTTTCACCACAAAATGCTATGAAATGCATTACATTATATGAAAGGTGTTTTAGAAAAATGTCAGAATGTAATTTGGTTACAAATGACTGTAAATAAACTAGCAAAAGTCTGAAAAGTGTGTTTTCCACCAAGTCCACAAAGCCAGATGTTCCCCTAATTGAACAAACCCCCAATTATACATTTTCCATGTTGGAAAAGCAAACCAGCACATAACAAGAAGAACAATGTGCGATCATATCATTTCCAGAGGACAAAGCCATTTCATGGCCTGTTAGTTTTATCTATTGGCCTGTAATGAGTACACTATCTTTTATCACAGAAATGTGCAACATGTTTATTGTGCTCCATTGGATGAAAATGTATACATTTAAGTTTTCATGCAGACATGACAGGCTAGTTATCTGCTTTGTTTGTCTCAACCTGTTCTCACCCTCTGCAATTCTCTCAAATGTCAATGCCAATTTCTTCCAAATGACATTCATCGGTTTAGCGGTTTGAGAACAATATCCATCTTTCTGGAATCTTTATGTACTCATAAAGAAAGCTATTGGCAGGGTCCCAATCATCCAGTCACGTTTACACAGAAATTCATGCCATTCTAACCTCTACATCAGTTGATGTGTAGCTGCATGAGACATTACCGCTGCAGGGGTGCGTCCTCGTATTCAGAGAGCATTCTGTACCGCATGCGTGGGGTACTTCCCCTTGATTTGTCCTCTTAATTTCATGAGCTTGTTCGTGGTCACTGTTATTTTTGGTGAAGTCCTCATCTTTTTCCCAGCTATCCAAAAGCAATATTACTGTCATCTCGCCTCATCTTGTTCCGCATGATATTTTGGTGTTGAAATCGATTTTTCCTTCATTTTTCTCAAGCATCTGTACCATCTGGGCTTGACCTTGAACATTGTCATTTTGATTAACAAAGCAAATAACAGGCAACAAAATCTTTTCTTGCCATCCAAGGAGTTTTTTGAGCTCAAGTATTGATGTAATCTTAAGAAAGTTGTGTTTTAAGAATGACCAACATCCTTGAATGCCCTTCACTTTCTCCTCGCATGACTGAGCCGGTCTGCATATGAAGTCATTTTAGAATGCAGATGGCATAGAAAAAGTTTTATTGCCACAAACCGTGCACTTCAATGTCACGCTTTCTCAAGCAGTCATTTGTGGCATGTAATATTGTAGCTGCTAGTCAGAGCCATTTTCCAGACTATTCTCTCATTATTCAGTTGCATGGCGCCATTTTTTGATCTCCATGCATATCCTCACCATCAGACTAACCTGAGTGCTGTACTGTATGTATGAGCTAGTTTCAACAAAGCATCATACCTCAAGCTTATGGTTGCAAAGATTTCCGCTGCATTTCCTGTACCAAATCGTGTTCCTGTCTATCAACTTATCTGTCTTGACGTGTTGTCATGTGATTCTGTTCTCTGTTTGTAAAAATTGTTGGGTTTTCCCCCTTTATCCCCTATCTGGAATTCCATAGGAGGGCTTGTATTGATTAATGATACGCTTCCAAATCATTCCGTACAGCAGTTCTGCTGTATTATTCTCACATTGTTTCTCTGCACACAGATCTCATTATTTTAAAGTTCATGCTTGCATGCAAACCAAAAAAGTTATATTTCTGTTATGTAAAGTTGCGGATATATTTTTAGAAAGCTCTAAATAAACTCCATGCATTTTGTTTATTCTGAAACACTGCTAAATGGGGCTCATTTTAAATGATTTGGTAGTACAGTATTTCCTTTTGAACAAGACAAAAGGTGAAATGAATTTGGAATTGAGGGCAAGACACCTCCAGAGACTCAATTATCTGTTTAATTGAAGCATCTCTCACTCTTATAGTTTATGGTACAGTTTGAATGTGCAGTAAAGGGTCAGTGCAATGTATTTATGTTAAAGTTGCATTAGAGATTCTTGTTAGCATGTAGTGTAATACTAATCAGTTCTAAAGGGCAAAGTTCTACATCTTTCCAAAAGATCTTTCGCTGTCTCATATTGAGACTTTTGATGAAATACTGTAATTACGAATAATCAATCAGGAATTAACAAGCTCCAGTTTTGCTTTGCAGTGATTGAAATTTTTGTGTCTGCTAAAAAAAAAAAAAAAAAAAAACTTCAGCTTGGCACGAATGAATGAAGAATGAGATGGGTCATTCCTGTAATGCAGTACCTTTTAAACTCTGTAACCTTGTAATTTAAAAAATAATTTCTATTTAAGGGCATGGCAGACATTCAAAATTATGGTCAAGCTCAAAAAATTAGAAAAAATTAACAGGATGCCTTACAGAATGGAAATAAAAGTCATTTTTTTAGAGAAGGAATTGAGAGTTTTTGAAAAGAGTTTATTATATCATCCATTATATAACAATTAAATATAAGGTAAGTAAGATTTTTTTTAAAGAAAGAAATTAATACTTTTAATCAGCAAATATGACAGTGAAGAAATGTATAATGTTACAAAAGATTTCTAAATGCTGTTCTTTCTATTCAGAATCAATCAGAAGAAAATGTATCACAGTTTCCACAAAAATATTAAGCAGCACAACTGTTTTCAGCATTGATAATAATAAGAAATGTTTCTTGAGCACCATAAACTGCATAGTAAGAATGACTCAAGAAACATATAGTCATTCTTTGCTCACCTTCATGTTGTTTAAAACCAGTATTAAAAAACAAAATTACAAATATTTTTTTCTTAAAAGTGGTCCATACAACTTGTACACTATACTCCAAGCCTTCTGAAGCCATACAATATCTTTTTCTGTATTAAACAGATCACAATTTGAGACAGTATAACTAAATATGGCTCCTATGCAATATATCTGAAATATGCTGTCTCTGAATTGCATTTGTGCATTGACTGTAAAACTAGTGTACTAGGACTCATTACTCTTCCTTATATAAACACCAGATGGCATTATATGCTGTACTCATGATTTTAGATTCACACAATACTAAGAAATTCCCAAAAGATGCATATGTAATGAGCTGGATTTTATTTATTCACCTGATTCAAGCAGATATCTACTTTTTAAGAATAAGTGTAGCTTGTTTTGTCATGCTGATTTGACAGAGGTGAGCGTCTTTTTAGACTCGAAAGCAATTAGATGCCGTTGGAAGGCAGGAAATGAATAAAAAAACGGTAGAACAAAGGGAAGAATGGTCCAGATTAGAGAGCCAGTATTGCATGGCCCCATCCTGTGCCAAGAGAGAGGGAGTTGCTTTTATCACAGGCCTGCAGGTGGCCGTTCAGCATTGGGGCTCCTGTTTAATTACCTATCCATAGTGCGACCAGAGATAAGACCACACCAGACACCCGACATTGAGATACACCTCTTGTGTTAGAAGAGTTTTGAATAGTCTCACTCAGCAAGTAATACTTGATGCGTTACTGTGTTTGCATTCTAATGGGACGCCTTACTGCACAGATGTACACTCTTGTCAGGTGCCATCAGTCAGTTTTATTGAAAAAAAAAAAAAAAAGTTATTTACCAAGGTGTTTATGTGTAGATGCACATTGTAGCATTATTAACAGAATGTGTGTAATGTAATTAGATGAAACAAATCAATCTGGCGGTGTACTAAAAACATTTGCAGCCTTGAACACTGAAGGATTGTTTTATATATTATTAAGGATCTTATAACTTCATTCATCACTGCTTTTGGTTTTATTGTATTTAATTATTTTTGAAAGAAATGTATTTGTTATTTTCTATTAGAAGGGAAATTATAGATTTTAGATGATTAGATTATGTTCTAATTTAGAATCTCATAATTTAATACCATTTGCCCTAAAGCTTTCAGAGAGTTTATTTCTATTTTCTATAGAAGTCATCTATTTTGAACCCTCTTGTGGAATTCCTCAATCAATACTCTGCTGCTTTTGAACCAAAGTCTGTGGGTACCGACCATGATTATGGATCTTTCGTTATGAGATTTAATGACTTTACCGGTATAAAAAACAAGGAATCTGCTCTGTATATTCCAGCAATGTGCCGGACAAACATCTGTGACCTACAGGCCCTGGTTTAAAGGCTTCTTTGACCTCGTTTAACCTTTGATGTGTGATTTGACCCTCAGCTTGCTGTGTTGTTCGTCTACTCTCCCTAAATGCAACTTACTTTACGCATGCGTCAACATCTTGCAGTAAAAAAAAACTTAACTCATTTTCAGCCAATTTTCCTCTCTCTTTAACATACATCCAGACTGCACGCCTGTTACATGTTTAAGACTAACAATGACAGATATATTTGTCTTTGGGTCACATGACAGAGGACGCAGTTGTCTGTTAAACTGTCCCTCTCGATTGTGTCTGTTTTATAGTTTGTGCATCTGGTTGTAGTGTGTGAAAATTAGAATTGCTTTGTTCTTTCGTATCTGGGAATTTTGTCTTTTTAGTTTACACACTCAAATCAATTTCATTTTTTGTTGGTTGTTGGTTGAATTTTTTGGGTTTAAAATTAGTGGTGAAATTTGAACTAGATGTGAATATCAAATCACAATTATCATTAATTTGATGACGTGTTTTGATTTTTGGTCTTCTTTTTTAGATTTGGAACTAATTCAATGAAAATCCCATGTGCCTAAAGTGATAAATCATTGAAATCGTTTTAAAATGACAAGAATAACATCAAGAACAAAACTGCATCTCGAATGCAAAAACAACCCAATTTGATTTTAAAAATTAAAAAAAAATAATAATCAAAAAGGCACATGATGGTCAATGAAAAGGTTCCAGATCTTGATACACTTCTTGTTTTTTTTTTGTTTGGTTTTTTTTTTTTTCAAATTTTGAGAGTTGATCTTGATGAACAATTGACGTTTTAAAGAATGTTTCCAAACTGCATGGCGAAGAAGTTGCAGTTTAGGGTTTGTCAGATTGTCAGTGTTAGAGTTTTGTTCTTTTTCGTAGATGGGCATGTATATGCTCATTGTTTGTATATCCCCATCCCTTCCTTACAGCCAAAAACGTTAATGCTGCCCGACCGCTTCGTACTGCCTATACATGGACATGGCAACTGACTTACACAATCACCCCCATCATTATCATCTCCTATGTAGTATGTTCATAGGTCCAATTCCCTTGTCACAACCCCCTCCCCCTTCCTTCCCCCTCTAGCTATGGTAAAATATGTAGTCATCCATTCACTCAAACCTAAATATTAAAACCAATCTAAGCAAAAAGTTTAATTACTAGAATGTAGATATTTATTTAACAAAAAATGCTATATAAATCAAAGGCTCAAATATGTACAGTTTTTGTAAGAAAAATGGATTATTTATCAAAGTAACAACAAAAGAGAATAATGGTGAAGTTTATTTTTCATGTTATGTGGTGTGGATGTATGTGTTGTTGCCTCCCTGTACTCTCTCATGTGGGAAACAAAAATATATATCTAACCAGAAACACGATGACAGTCATTTTGTTTTCACAAAGAGAAAAACCTGTCCAAGAACATTCTTACACAACTTTCTTTTGTACGTTTTTCTTTTCTTCATGCCAAAATCATGCGGGCAATTTGTTGATGTAAGTTGACCAAAAATTATGATATGCTTATGTGTTTATGTTTATAATATATATGCTTGTTTAAATTCTTAATATAATGAGATCAAGAAGTTCTGATCTCGATTTGCTAAATTATAATGTTGATATTTATATTGCCTGTTTGTCAGTACTGTATTATTGTGTGCTATGACTATTTATTGAGAACTTATGGTATTGGCTTTGGTCTATTTTTGTTATTATTAAAGTCTGCCTTTTTAAGTTCTTTTAATTTTGAATTTTATTTTTATGCAAGTCTTAAACCTGATGGCAGTTTTATCTTACATTTGCAATGACAGTCTGAATATCTAGTAGGAAAAAAGTAGAAACAAACCTTCCATGTCCATGAAATGGAACTTTTTCTTTTTGTTGCATGGCAGATACACCAAAATGTTTTTCTTGTAGTATTAGAATCACTCCTTCCTTTCTGAATAGTGACACATTATACTTGAAGAACTGAACGTCTTACTGCTACTGTACAGTAGCATTTTAACATACAGAAAGCAGCATTCATTGTATTCTTTATTACTTAGATTTAGTTATTACTTATTACAGGGGTGCCCAAACTCGGTCCTGGAGGGCCGGTGTCCTGCAGAGTTTAGCTCCAACTTGCCTCAACACACCTGCTGGTAAGTTTCTAGTATGCCTATAAGTGCTTGATTAGCTGGTTCAGGTGTGTTTAATTGAGGTTGGAGCTAAACTCTGCAGGACACCGACCCTCCAGGACCGAGTTTGGGCACCCCTGAATTAGATTTAGCTATTGCTTATTACTTAGATTAAAGTCTTGCCCTTCGATAACCAACCATATTCAATAGATAATTACAGAAATCATTCAGCTGTCATTGCATTATGGAGATAGTAGCTGCCATTAGGAAGGCTTTCTAAAGTCATTCAAAAGGCAAGAGTCAGTGCACTGCTGGGGAGCCACATCATACATCACATATGTGTGTGTGTATATATATAGAGAGAGAGATGTTTTTCTACCAAAATATACAAGCTGTTGACTTTGTTTCACTTCTTATAAAACAGATGAAACCGTCATGAGGTGAGACTTCACCTTGTGGCTTATATAATGATTTTCTTATATGCACTATATGTTGTTTTCTTCTGACATTTATTTTTAGATCATGAGACTTCATGGCAATAGGAAAGGTTTCATTCATACATTTTGAAATTATGCAAAATATTATTCCAAAAAATGTAAATATTTTTACAGTAAGGTCACAACTCAGTAAGTTAAAGCACTTATTAATTTCGTTTATTACTAGTTCATGTTGAAATGCATGAGCTAATTTTAACAAATGCACATGATTTATGTTAGTATTGTTAGCGCATGTTAATAGTTCACGCACAACTTTTTTTGTAAAGTATTACCCAGAAAGCAGTTAATTCAAATAGCTCACAAACCAGCTCACCCACAAAGTCCTGTCAAGTCCTTTTGATGCCAATTTATACTCGTTTATGATCGATATTGTTTTGCTTTTTTGTTTATTTATTTGTACATTCTGCCTTGTATCTGTTAGTGTTTTTTTTTTTTTTTGTAACCAGTTTTCGAGACTAACATGCCTCGTGTCTTGTGTTCAATTGTAGGAGGCAAATTAGTTTTCCCAGTATTTGTAAAGGATCCCTTAGAGATCCCCTCTGTAGCCACTCGTACACCCTCCATCCCCTTTCCCCCAACCCTCCGCCCCCACCTCACCATTATTGAGACCACCAAAGAGTCCCTGTCCATTGCCACTGAGGCGGGGGTACCTTGCTTGTCGGACCGAGGCAGCGATGATTGTGATGATGATGATGATGATGATGATGGCTTGATGATATCTGGGTATGGCTCTGGGGAAGCATACGACTCTAACCTGCCCCCTACTGATGATGAAGATTTTTACACCACCTTCTCCTTGGTAACAGATAAGACCTTGTCTTCGTCGACCTTTGAAGGTGGCTACAAAGCTCACGCGCCTAAGTGGGGATCCAAGGACTTTAGACCTAACAAAGTCTCCGATTCTGGTAGGACTACTACCACGTCTTTTTCCCCCAAGCTGAGCCGCTCCACAACCACGTCCACGCCACCCAAACTGCCCGCGGGCAAAATGAATCACAGGGAGCTAAAGCCCCAGCCCGACATAGTCTTGCTTCCATTGCCCACTTCCTATGAGGTAGACAACACAAAGCTGAAGAGCCCATTAATAACCTCCCCCATGTTCCGTAATGTACCCACAGCAATCCCCACGGAGCCGGGCATCAGGCGGGTTCCGGGGGCCTCCGAGGTGGTCCGTGAATCTAGCAGCACCACCGGAATGGTCGTCGGGATAGTTGCCGCTGCCGCTTTGTGCATCCTAATTCTGCTGTACGCCATGTATAAGTACAGAAACAGGGACGAGGGATCCTACCAAGTGGACGAGACCAGAAATTACATAACCAACTCGGCGCAGAGCAATGGAGCAGTCATGAAGGACAAACAGCAGAGTGCGAAAAGCAGCAACAAGAAACAGAAAAACAAGGACAAGGAGTACTACGTGTGAGAATGTCGCCCGTCGCTTTGACAGAACTTTGAGCTGTTGGGCGCTGTGCCGAGAGAGGGCGACAGGAGCCGAACCCCGGCGCTATGCCGAGAAGGCGAACTGTACCATAAAGCACACGTACAACCGTAAGCATACCACGAAGGTAAAATAGCAAACATTAGTGACCTTATTCCTCTATCTGGTCGGAGACGTTATCAGTGTAGAATATTCCACAGCTACATCATAATCCTAAGTGACTTTTAGAGGTATGTGAACCTTGGCGTAAATCTCGTTTTTCTTTTCTTTTGTAACTCTGTAAAAAAAAAAAAGAGGAGAACGTTTCAAGCATGTAAGAGACGCATAGTGCTGATGTCCGTAACGAAAGTGGGTCCCAAAAAATGTTGTTCACGCGAAAAAAAGGACTCCTGCCAACAAAATAAATAAATGAATAAATATATATATAAATATATATATAAATTCTATATATGAGAAATTTGTATTGTTTATATACATTACATGTGGTGTCTTATCATTTTTTGCTCTCTGCAAAAAGAAGAAAAACACATTGTAATAAACGAAGACCTGTCACCAAGGCTCTGACAGCACAGCACTGTTAGGATTTCCAGCCGAAACTGATCATTTTAATTGTACAACCAACTGTAATATTGCAAATGTGTGAGTTTCCAGAAAGACAGTGACATTTCCTTGTCTCAGTAAAGCGACTGATTGTAGTGCATGCCATGCCATCCTTCGCTTCGATCACATCCGCCCACCGGGCCGATCCGATCATCAGATAGACCTCTCGTCCCTCAAAGCGACTCGACAAGGGAACGTGTCGCAGATTGGAACTTTTTCAACCGTATGTATGTTGGTCCATTTGCTCTCGTCTCTTTTTTATACAGCTGTCTGGTGCAGACTGGCGCAGTGCTATGATACTGTTAAAGGATGTCTATACGAAAATAAATCTAATGTGAAAAGTGTGAAAAAAAACCCTATCTGTTGTCACAGTCGACTGTGTCGAACGAGAAATTTGTTTACATATTTTATTACATGATAGCGGTTGTACTTTGTAGGTAGATGATGTACATACGAACCTGAGTTGTATTTTTTTTAGTAATTCTATTGTACAGAGAGATCATTTGATTATTTATTCAGTGTGTTTAGTGCATAAAAATCCGACACTGTCGACTCATGTGAAGGAAGAAAAATATATACAGTACACACACGTTTTTGTAAGGACAAGCAGAGAATATTGTTAGATTAGAGGTCTAATCATTCTCCCAGATGTTTCTAAGTCTAAGCATGGATATTTGACTACTTGAAGCTGTCAATGGAATACAAGACGCACTTCTTAATTGTACCAAGGTTTCCTTGTTATCAGTTGTTTTATTTATAGAAGAATCAAAGAAATATGTAATAAAGACAGCCTAATATGGATACGGACATGCAGCTCAGATAATTTACACCGTGTGTTTCTTACCTTAATACAAGTGGTCTGGACTGCAGTAAGCCCTGTCGCATCGACACAATTTTTTGACATTTTTTGCTCTTATTTTGTTCTTATTTGTTCTACCAAAAATATGATGTGAAGATGTGCCCATGTTATTTTTTTAATCTTCATTTTCTGTTCAACCTCATGTGTGCTTTTATTATTTTCATTTATGACGTCATAGTCATGTAGCTTCGCTTCAGACAATAATTGGCAATGGTCTATAATAAAACATTCCATGGAGGTTGATCATACAAGGGTTGTCTTAATGTGCACATATCTATATACTCTCTTCAGTATGTGCGGCGATATATTTTTCTATCATCCATCATGCTGGATGGCATGTACACTTTAATTTTCTGTTCTGTTAGGACCTTTTTAATGTGTTCAAGAGACTTGGTCTGAAATATGCCTTTCCTAGCATGCTTTTAATGCATGCCTCACTTTGTTTTTAGCACAGAAAAGGTGAGGTCATCATTTGTATGGAAGAAAGATTGCATTTCAGTAGTCAATCAGAGAGCAAAAATGAATCAATATTCATCAGATGTTGTACAGTATTTTCTTGGGAGATGCAGATTTATAAAAGAGTACCCACAATGACCTGTTAACAGCATAAGAGATCCTAAGCACAAAATATTTATCTTTTGGTTACCAAGGCAACACAAAGGTACAAATCAGAAGCTGTGACTTCTGTTGTGATTTAATTGTTTCATTAGATATGGTAATTAAAGTGCGCCTGACTATAAAAGAAATTAGGAGGACTTTTAATATGCTATTGTTCGAGAACAATATGATGTTTGAAATCCTGATTAGGAACAAAAGCATCAGCTTCTGTATGCACGCAACATAAAAACTGGCAGACTGATCATATGACAACAGTTTTGATTTGTTTTTGAGGATACCATCAAAATGTAAACTAATCACTGAAATTAATATGAATGTTCAATTCAGTTTCAGCACCGTTGGATATCTTCAGTTTTGTCGGATACACTCATGCTGACAAGCCATTTGGAGCAACAAAGTAACCAGAAGTCATTCATTTTCAATGACAGTTGTCAATTTCCAGCTTCATGGGTTACAGTGACTGTTTTGACATGATTTGGGTGTGTCCAGATGCAAAAACAGTTGATAAAAGTTTATGCAAATGAGCAGCAACTACCTCAGTGGTCATTTTTAGCAGCAAAACAACTGATTCATTGTCAAAACAAAATGGCATATTATTTTTTTACGAACAGTACATCTCATTTTTCAATGCTTTGACTACTTAGTGTATACAGGTCATCACTGAAATCACCCACCAACAGACAGTGTTGGGAAGGTTACTTTGAAAATGTAATAGGTTACAGATTACAAGTTACCCTACTTAAAATGTAACAAGTAGTGTAACTTTTCAATTACTTTATTAAAGTAATGTAACTGATTACATTTGATTACTTTTTGATTACTTTTCTACATTTCTAATGTTTTCAACTGTTAATCATTTTCAAGTATGTAAACCAGGCAGGGTTAACCTTACAGTAGTACTGAACACTGATTACTGTCAGACTTTCAAAATCCTTCATCACTTGAATTAAGATTATAATATCTAAATTTTAAAGGAGACATTGCATGCAAAATATCTTCATTTGCATATAAATGTGTCTTGGTAGCGCATAGACAAAACCACTCTACAAATAAAAATCCATTCACTCCTTTGTTTAATCCCCCAAAAACCTAAACAGTTATCAAGCCAAAATGATGTCATATTGCTCAGGCCCCTCCCACGACGGCTGACGTACTGTCGCATATTAGCATATTTCCACCCTCAGCCAGTTATACGAAGTGCGCTAATGAATACATCTAAATTAGTTTATGTCTGCACAAATCATTTTACTCCAGACTGCTTTCTGAATGAGGGACAATTCAAGGCAGATTTTGTTAAAAAGTTCAAACTCAAGAATGGATCAGTACCCATTGTTCGTGATCCAGCTGCACCTCCAGAAGTAGTAAGTCTCACACTTTATATATTTTTTATGATTATTTGCTCTTCCACAGAAGAGAGGAGCGGGGTGAGCAGAGCTTTTTATCATGTAAAGAGATATGCACCGAAACGAGTCTCTGTGAACAGAGCTGTTTTTGACAAGGTAAAAAGGGTGTTGTTTTACACAACCACTGAGACCATTTCAAGAAGACACTAAAGAATCATACATCGGGACTTTAAAGCATGTTTATTACACATTTTGGGAGACACAACAAATGAATAGAGAAAAAAATTATACTGTATATCAATACTCCTATTAAATATGAGATATTAAAATCGTGCTAATTATTACTCCCATTATTGCACTTATTTGTTCACATTAATATGCAAATTAGATACAGTTTATAGATATATTGTATATAATGCAAAAACTCGTTTATGGCCATTTTACACACATTTTGCATAAAGAAATTATTTTTTTTTTAAATATCTTTCATAACATAGTTGAGAATTATCTTTATATAAAGTTTGGAATAAAAAAATAAAAATTGATTTCTGATTAAAACAAAAATCCCACTGTTTTTGCCTTTTCGTGTCTATTCATGTCTTTTCATTTAAAAAAAAAAAACAGGACTTTTTAAGTCCTGGTGTCCTCTACAGTGGACATGTATGAAATTGCTACTTCTTGCCTTAAGCCTTCTTTTGTTCTGCAGAGGTTTTCCTCTTTTGTTTTTTATCTGCCATCTCTATCATTCTGTCGTCACTCAGCTTGGCTAATGTCCGTCCTGTGCACTGAACGTTCTCTCCTTCACATCATGAGTAGACACGCCCCTTACTGCTGATTGGCTACAAGTTTGTTTTGCTACTCGGCCCGAACCAGTTTTCTAAAGCGTTTTTGAAAAATTGCTTACCCCACCTTTAATCTTAAAAAATAAAGCATTTACATAAACCCATACACTCAGGTAGCTTAAACGTACATATTAGTACCAAAAGTGTACATATTAGTACCTAAAAGGTACAAAAAGTGTGCCTTTTGAAAAGGTACTGCCCCAGTGACCGCTATTGTACCTTTTTTTCTGAGAGTGTAGGAAATAAAAGAGTTATCAAATAAGCATATTATAAACTCCTGAAACGTTGGTGTTTCATATTTTAGAGCACTCACTGCAATTTATGAAAGAAATCAATTAAATCTGTATGTGGGAGTGTATGTGAAAATAAAATCAGATGTAACCCGCCTTTGTAATCCTTAAAATTTTCATAAGTAACTGTAATTTAATTACACGTTTTTCTCAGTAACTGTAACTGATTACAGTTACATTTATTTTGTAATTAAATTACGTAATTCCGTTACATGTA